TTTGAAATTCCGTTAAATATTATTTATTTTTTTGAATATATTCGATTTAGTCTAGTTGTTTGTTACTAACCAAATATTCCTCTGGTGTTTCCTGTAAAAATAATACTTCCAAAATTGATTATATTTAAATTTTAAAAGATTAATTGCATTTGTTTTCAATTTATTAATTTCAGTAAATCGAATTCAAATTTATCGTTGTTAATTTAATTTGTTAATAACAATATTTTCAAATTTTTGTTAACAGTGAGGCTGTTAACATGATTCTTATTTTTACTGTGAAATGAAATGAGAGTGAATAGAAATTAACATTAAACGAGAAATTGCGAAATTAACCCATTGGATATCAGAGAAAAAGTATTATGAAAAAAGAATATTGATTACATTCAAATTTAATAAAATTAATTACATTTTTTTTAAATTGTATGAAATGGTTTAAATTCGTTGATTACTTTATTTCCATATACATATATTTTTTCTTAAATCGTTTTCACGGTAATTATTTGCAGTTATGGGACGATTGTACGAAATTAATATAGCAGCGGAAAATGATGATGGCATAGGCGTGAATGCAACAGAATGGTTAACAACACCGGTTGGAGTACCTGAAGCTGAACCACTTAACGTACGCTATGAAATTAACGCTGATCAGGTAGGAGAAATATGTGTTTTGTTAACTAGAAGATAGGAATTAGAAATTCTAGAAATAAATTAGAATTTTTCATCAGTTTTCGCAAATAAATTTTGCACACACGAAATTGAAGCTGTATATAATAAAGTTAATGAAATACTGAAACGCTAATACAATGTGAAAGTAAATTGATTTCATAATCCATTTGCGATATTTATTTCAGGCAAAATATAGGGTAAATTTTGCAAAAAAAAAATTTTTTTTTTTGTTTATTTTCAGTTTTTTTTGTTGAAATTTAAGCATGCCTATTTTTTTCTCTTTTCAACTTTCTATCACAGATCGGTCATTAAAATCCACCAGGGGTATTCAAGTAAAATTAAATTCACATGAGAGCAATTCTAAAATTCTCACGTAGACATACATTTAAAAGAATAATTTCTATGTAAATAAAATGATGATAGATTATAGATATAATGTTGAAATGTACAGTTAAAATATTCGACCCATATATGATACAAACATTTTACATCTTACATATTTGCTCAGAATAAATATTATAATCATTTATCGTCATTAATGAATAGCGAGAAATAATAAAAATTAAATTTTTAATGATATCATTTGATTTGAACGAAACTCATAATAAATCATGTGTAAAAAGAAAGAAAAAAGGCGATTTTTACAATTCCAAATTTTCAAAAATTTTCTCCAATTCTTTTCATTATTAATCATTATTCGAAGTGAACGAATCGAAGGTATATTTGCCTTTAAAATTTAAATCTTAGCTGGAATTATGATACATTAGAAAACGTTTAGCTTAATTTACATTTAACAAATTTTCACAATATTTTACATAATCTATTGTTATGTGATTATTCAAGATGAAAAGATATAAAATTTTCTAAAAACTAACATCATTGAAGAAAATATTTCAGAGACCGAAACATCTTTACAGATATTTAAAATTTTACCGCAACTTTGCGCTGAAATTATTTGTAATAGTTATCATCATCGAGCAAGATGATGATTTTATTGAACTCAACTTGGTCATTTACATACTTCTTAAAGGAAACTTTAATGATGCAACTGTCATCGAATTATTCCATTTCATCAGATCATTTCGGCTTCTTTTAAGCATTTTAATGATTTCAATAAATTAGATATGTATCATTACGTGGATTGTTACCCATGCATATCGGATTTATTGAAATTATGTGAATTGTTACGTATGTGTAATAAACTCTATATATCTACTTATTAAATTGTTTGTTTCATTAAATTTTTTAATTTAACAAAGAAATATTGGCTTATGATGTTCTTTAGTGGAAAAAAAAACTCCTTTTTTCAAGATTTTTATTAAAATATAAAATCAATAAATTTTTATTTTTTTCAAATTTGACAAACTAGAAATTTTGTAATTTGAATGATTCGAAAAATTCTTCATTTTTTTTATTTTCTCCCAGTTTGATATTAAAAGATGCTGATATTAGCTTTATAGCAAATGATAAATGCTTACTTTTATATTGATATTTTACTCTTATTTTCTTTTCTTAAACAATATAATATCTTTGCTAAAATACCTTGAACATACAGTCTGCTTGAAGCCATCGGGAAAATACAGACTGACGAAGATATTTGCGATCTTTGCGGCGATACGTAATGATGCACTTCCCGAAGATACTGTGAAGATACACTCTTTAGGAAAATACAGTCTCTGTAAAGATGATTCCTTTGCTATAAAAAAATATTGGCCATTTGGAAGACTCTGTCTTTACGATTACTCCGTCACTTATAGAAATTGCATCGTTCATAAAGATTTCACGGAACTTCATAGTTCACGTAAAATACGTGGTTCACAGAGAATATATAGATCCATTATTTCTCTTCATATATGCTAAGTGTGTCTTCTTTGTCTTTTTTTTCCAAATTTACAATTTGAATTTTTTTCTTTTTTTTGCAATTTATAAGTAAAATTTTATTTCCAATTTTTTAATTGCAATATAAAATTTATGGTATTAAATTTTTAATTATGAAATAAAATTCTCGATGTTACACTCCCTTTTATTTTTGAATCATAATTATTTCATTTTCAAGCGACAGTAATCATCTGTTATTTCCTGTAAAAAGATTAGTGTATCCGTAATACATGCCTGAATATATTGAATATGGAAATAAGGATAATCCGGAAAATGTTATCTCTGAATAGATAAGCATGCTTGACATATGCTTATAAATTCAGGAATAATATTAGCATTAAAATAGAAGTTAAATCGATTTCGATTTTAATATAACTCTTTTGGATCAAATTTTTAAACAACTGATGCAGACGTACATCATCACAGCATACATATGTCGAATAGAATTGATCTTTTAGTTCCGGCTAGTCCAAAAAGATAATGTTAGCGTTAGCTGTTTCAAATCTTCAGACGAGAGAAAATTTTGAAAAATCCGTGTAAACATTCTTTTCAATATTTAATTATAAATGACAATATAATTAACAATTTTTCAGATATTCTTTTTTCCAAAAAATTATGGTTATTATGATTTTTCGTTTTTTGTTGTTAACATTTCTCATTTTAAATAAGTATAAGTAGATTTTATTCTTTCAGAGGAAGAATAAAACACAAAACAATATTATAACAAGACATTATTTTAAAATAGATTATAAA